GTATTTACTTTTATTATTTCAGTTCTAGACACATCAGACGTTCGTTAGGTTCGGGTGGTGGCGATGCTAGTAGTGTATTATCTGCCGGTGGTCGTACTCAAAAGTCATCAGGTTCCAGCAAGTTAAGTCACGGAGCGACTGCAAGAGATTCTGGTGGGTCATCTGGACACTGTACACCTCGCAGTGAACCTCCACCAGTAATACAAGTATAGTCGATACTTTACCGACAGTGTAACATTAAATGAAAACCGCTATTCATTGAATGAAATATTTTACTTCAGGATTGCTGGAGTCATATACGTCGTGACAGCGGTGCATCTACTCAACACTCGACGGAAAAAGATCGTTCAAGAAGAGGTAGTTACGCTAACGGTACCCCAACATCTGTTGTAAGACGCTATAGTCCTGAATCTGAGAGCAGCAACAGTCAAACGGATTATAGTCCAACATGCAATTCAAGGTATATGTTTAAATTTGATAAAATTTGTGCAATACATTCAAAGAAGATTAAAAATATATCAAAAAATTTTCATTCTTCAAATAAATATTCAGAATAAGTTCTTACAATCTTACAAATATCTTTTTATGTTTTATAGTCTTAATATGATTTTATAAATAATTGCCATATCTTAGTTTGTACTATAAATTTGACTATTGAATGAAACTTTTTTGTAAAAAAATTATTTCTTTTTTTTTTTTATCAATAATTATAAGCAATAAAAAAGAAATTGCATTTTTCTTGCTTTAGATTCTCCGATGGCTGGAAAGAAGGTCGTGGCCGACCAATTCTGAGATCAAAATCGGATATTAGTGATCGTTATTGGCGTCAAGATAATGGTCGATCCAATAAAGTACCTGCACGACCTCCTCGGTCAATTACTCAACTCGAAAATTTCTTCGATTGTTTAGGTCTTGATTCGGACAATTATCAACGTATCACGAAACCAGATTCGAAATCGTCATCTCCCGTATTTTTTGATAGCGTTAGCTCGGTCGATTCGGCATTAGGTCTTTATTCTTGGGCTGGGAACAACCAAACGAATCAAAGTAGTCAATGGCAGAATAATGATTGCAGCGTCGGTATGGGTAACGACGACAGTAACCAGAGAGTCAATGATCCTCCGAGTATTGTAGAACGCAATGCTCGAATAATTAAATGGCTTTGTCAGTGTCGAAAAGTGCAGTTTGGATTTAGTTAAGCAACGAGTTTAAGAAGAGGACAATCGATTCTCCATTCTCAGTAACATGCATTCAAGTCAACGAAACTAGAGTTTTTCATCTTGCCAACAATTAATCTTCAAAATATATCGCAAAAACTTTTGCTTTAATTTTGTAAGGAAATTGCACGAATATAAGCAAATACCTTTTTCCTGCTTTTTTTTTAGTTACTAATGCTACAACGAGTAGCATGTTATAATTTATCTTCCTTTTTTTATTTTAAGTTTACAAGCGTATGTGCCATCTACTTATGTAATTTGTTGTGCATTTGTATTGCATTCTTAAATCATTATTGAAATTCTTTGGCATAACATTCTTTTTTTTTTTTTTCATATATTTTTTTGTCGAAATTTGTAAATATATTGTAAATTGTAGAAGTTGTCAATTATTATATATGTGTAAACACATGTAACTTTTTTGCTTGTTTAAATAGTTTTGTTTTTAGCGAATGAATGAATTTATTGTCGTATGTTAGTTTTATTAAATTTATAACGAGTTTATGATTATAAATTAACTATTTTTAATGTTTTTTTCTACAATATTATGATTTATTGATTGAGAGAGTTATGAAGTTATACAAAAATATGAAGTTTATGCACTGTTTTATCTTAAAATTAAGTCGTACATTAGTTATAAAATTTGATTGTTATATACGTTTTTTAATGAAAATATTCATAAATAATTGGCATTTATGTTAGTTTTTTATATTAGAGAAAAGTTACTTGATTTTTTATCTTTCTTCTTCATATTGAATGCTAACTGACGATATGGTTCGATTTTTCTGATTAAATAGGAATTGAACTATTTTTTGATTTTTGACTGTTATGTCAAAAAATCAAATTTTTATCTTGTAATGCAAAAAATATTTACTGTTATTTCCAATAGAATTATTACTATAATAATATCAATTCAATCTCATTAATGTTTTTGCTGGTTCGAATTCATTGTATAAATATATTGAAATGCATTGTAAAAGTAAGTATTGGTATAAAATTAAACTATATGTAATTTATAAAATTTTTGACGATTTTTGTCTATAAAATTATTCGCCAAGGGAATTTGTAAGGAATTTCATAAAATTTTTTATATTAATGTTTTTAAAGTCATAATTAATCTTGTAAATTTTGTTAAATGAAATTATAGTCGTATCAAAAAATTATTTTGAATTGAATATATATAAAAATATTATAATTTTCAAAGTTATTTTTTAATTACAAAATATGTTTAATATATAATATCTTGTTCATGTAATATAATTAGTTTGATTTTAAAGAATTTTAAAAATCAAACGTAATCATTAAATATGAAACGTATCATTGTATATTCGGTATATTATTTATTATAAATAACTACTTTGTGCCTAAAAAATTTGAAAAATCTTATTTTAATAAAAAAACTTATTCAAATTGTTTAATATATCTACATATATGTTCAATATTTTAGTAAGAAATGTTTTTATTAAAATCTGTGTATTTTATAAAATCTAATGTTCGTCATTTAAATCGTTTAAAAGAACAAAAAAATTCGTATCTTATATTTTAAAGAATTTAAATTAAATGCACTCCCTAAAATAATACGACATAATTATTAAAATCTATAATTAATAAAAAAAATATATCATTCGTTCATTACTTAAAATATTCTTGATATATTTCACTGTGCAATAATACAGATATTAAATGTTCTTATTTTAGATGATATTTACTAGATCACTATTTGAAATATTTTAATCATTGTGTGGCAATCAATAAAGATATACTAATTATGACTTTGAATGTTTAGAATGGAAGAAAATTGTTATTAATTATGTGATTCGAGTATTTTAACATAAAGAAGGAAAGAAAAAGAATTTGTGTAATATAATATAATAAGAAGTTACTCAACTACTCTCATTTCAAGTGATATAGATGTTTTAGATAAGTAGTGAGTTTGCATAGATTGTAAGAGAAACATAGTAGTATATTGCATTTAAACAAAAAAAAAAAGTTGATATTACTACCTGTGTAGTAAAACCTTGCATTTTTCAAGCAAATGTAAAGTATAGCTTGTATTGAATCTTAGATGTTGTGTAGTTATATAATCAGTATTTACTATAATTATTTACTTACAGTTTTTGAGAAAAATATTATAAAGAATGTAATATCAAAATTACGAAGTCTGTTTTAACAGCCTTGCGTAACGTGTTATTGCACAAAAAATTGAATATGTATGCTTAAAAAAAGCATTTTGCTTATAACTTTTTGAGCTAAAGCACTATTTAATGTATGTATATTAATAATATTTGGTGATATTTAATTACCTGAAAATTTTTATTCCCAAAATTAAAATTCTTGCCTTGTAATAAAAAAAAAAAAGAATTCATATATATTTTTGTTAGTTGTAATGATATGTATCTTGGTTAATAATCTTATTATAAAATGTTTGAAAATAAAATTTTTAAATCTAGTTGCAACTTACTTATAGAATGTAGAGAATATAGTGTTAAATATCCTCAATATGGTTTTCAAAAAGTTTTAAGCAAACTAAATAAATTAATAGTAAATATTACTTCTTGAGAGTACAAACACAAAGTGTGTTCTATTTCTACTCTACTAAGATCTAAGTCTAGCAATTTATAGGAAAAATGTTTAATAAAATTAAAATTTATTTGCATTGTTTAGATGTTTAAAAAGTTTAAAAAATTTATTACATATTTATGTGGTAGAAATATACACACTCATACAGATACGCATTCCACTTCTTTATATGTGTATATGAATCTCAAGAAGTAAAATGATATCATAAGTTTTTATTATTTTCGATATAATTATGTTTTCTGTATTGATATTAATTTGTTAATATAATCGAAGGAATTTGTATAACATTATATTGCAATTCGTTGTAATAGATTATGTGATTCATGTATTTGTATAGTAGAATTTATCGCGTTATTTTTGTTTCTTTATTATCGAGGCTTAGTTCTTTAATATTAAGTAAATTTGTTGAAAGACCTATTTTATAATTTTAAATCCAAATGTATACTTAAAATGTGAAACTTACGTATGTATATGTGCATAATTTGTGATCCATAATATTTAACATTGTTAAAGTCATACATTTTTAACTGCTTTTTTTATAATCTAGTCATGTAGATCAAAATGTGTTAAATTTCAAGATAATATTATTAAATTCCTTCTATGTATCGCTGGTAATTTTATTTTATAACCCAATATTTATATAAAACATTTACATTTTTTAAAATTTTCATATATAATTTTTTTAATATAGATTTTTCTTTTAAAATTTAAAAATTAAATTAAATTAGAACCTTTTTTTTCCCCTTTAGATTATGTATATTTTATAATTAAATTGTAAAATAAAATTACGTAATTTTATATAATTTCAAAATATGCATATATTTAAACATATATATAAAATTCTATTTTATATATTTTTATTTATTTATTCAATTTATTTTAAATTTAATTCGATTGAAATAAATTTAATTTTAATTCAAACGTTTAAATGTTACTACTTTAGATGTTTTTATAAAAATATTTATAATCAATTTTATCATCTAGAATATAAAAATGAAATGACTAATTAATAATACAAATCAATTCGCGTTTAGAAAAAATATTAAAAGTTATACAATATAATATACTAATAATTTAATAATAACTTTTTTAATCTTTTAAAAATTCGATGGATTCAAATATATTATAGATGGCAGTTCTGTCCACTTCAAATGTCACGTCGTCCATAATATTCAACGAGCGCATGCGTAACAGCGAGCTGTGCCTTTGCAGTCTGTGCTCGTCAGTCAGTCTTACGGACGCGCGATTCATGTTTGACGCGCAATTTCGAATGTGTGGATCGACTGAAATTATCGATGATTGTATGTTTAATGGTGATACTTGACGAAAAAATTCTAACTTATATGCGGTCAACTAGTGTCTCGTGGTGTGACGCTTTCTGGTAAGATTATAGTGGCAGGTTTCGCTATGTCGCAAGTGCTTTGGCCGCAAGAGGCGCAGTGACGACTCGCCCGTGAGCCTGCCGACATCCTCGACAGCCCTGCGATGGAGTCGATCAGAAAATGGTTCTATAGGCCTAAGGTAATTTCTTTTTGTTCTTCTATATATTCATTATTTTTAATCTCATCTTCCTTCTTATTTTTTAAGTTTGATGCGTTTTTTCGTTTCTTTTTCGTCTCTGTATATTTCTTATCGTACTGGTTAGTTGATCGAACGCGTGCGCTCGTTCTTTTTTCTTCGTTCCTTATCCCTGTCTCTGTGTGTTGGACCTGCGCGCTGTTGCCACCTGTTTCGTGAAAATTCGCACGATATCCCGAAGTGCTTCGGGCGACGTGTTACATCTGCGTGATATACCTGTAAGTACATATTTCATTGATACGCACACGAGTGCTAATCGTCCTTGTTTACAATTCGACGTTTCCTTTCGATGCCAATGTATATATTGAAATATATTTTTTGATTGAAATTTCATGTAATGTTCATGGAACATGGTCTAATCAGCTGATATGTAATAGAATCTGCAGGTTTTTAATCTTCTAATATAGGATGACCTCGAGGTTAATTCCGGTTCAAAGATACATTCTTTTATTCGATTAAAAAATGAATAAAAGGAAGATTGATAAATTAATTTATTTGATCAATAATAATTTTTTATAAATAAAAATTAAACACATTTTTTTGTATTTTTTCTTTTTTTTAAATATTTACTAGTATTATATAGATACTCTGTGTTTGTCTCATATTTCAGTTTTCTTATTTACTCAGATACTTTCTCTTTCGTGTGTTGTCGATAACCTACATCTAAAATCACATGACTCTAGCATCTGTCGCGCTTAACCTCAATAATTTAAATTATTAGATCATGATTAATGAGAGATTTTTTGAAAATTATCATTTTACATTTTGTTGTATAAATTGTAATTTAATATCTCTGATATGCTCATTAATTAATGCATCGCACGTTTCTATCATGTAGAAATATTCGGTATTGTCCATTCTTTTCACGTACCAGGAAAAGATTCTATCACTGTCGGCTTTATTTGTCGCCTGCTTTCGAAGGCGTACTGTCGTTGCTCACGTGAAAATGCGATAGTAAAACTGGAGAATGTGTTTCATCTTTTTCAATACTTTCTCATTGTTTCGATTATTTTATACGTTGAGAAATGATGCAGTACGATAAAATGAATTGTTTTATTCTTCTTATCGAACCGATTCTCCGTGATTAGTATCTAATAACATACATGTCTTGTGTGCATACGTAGTTCGTAGATTGACATATATGTATCACGTGACCACATTCAATGAGCTGTCATCAAGCGAACGACTTATTTCGTATTAATTTATAATTAATTTTTCTCTGAATTCTATTTTTTTGAATTTTTAATTTGATTTAATTTTGTATGCAATTATGATTTAATTTCATTGCAATTATGATATTAGATTGATTTTACTTTTATGTAAGATAAAATTATAAATATAAAAAATTATAATTTAGAGTATTATCAGTAAGTATTTAGTAAATTATTTCATTGAAACTCGATTTGGATTTTAGATAAATTTTTATTCTTATAAATAGTATATTTATAGTATATATCATTATTTACTTCTTAAATTCTATCATATATGTAAATATTAAGATATTTAATTACCTAGTGATTAATTACCGTATTTGTATATCATACATTGAATTAAAAAATATTTTTATTTGCATAATATTATTTATCAGTATTATTAGAATTTTTTAAATTATTTAATATTTATTGTTATAAACGATGACTTGATGCAATTGAATTCTTTATTTGATTATTAGTCAGAAATTTATTTATTTTTATCATTTTTTTCTTTTTTTAAAATTTTTTTTTTTAGAAACTTTTATCCAGATATATATCTAATTTTGAAAAATAATTTTCGTTTAAAAATTTTTTTAAGAATTATGATTACAAAAAAAGTATATATATATATATATATATATATAACAGAAAACATGTATATATTATTAAAATATATATTTTGTATATTGGAAAACTTTTTTTATCTAAAATTTCTTCATTTATTAGTTCGAATCGCCACAAGTTAATACGCGAATTACATAGTTGACGATTTTAATCCCACGTAGATTGAATCGTACCGGTTTCTCGTGGATTAGTGTGTAAGTATATACTCTCAGTTACAACCTCGTCGACCACGAACGAAAGGTGTGCAACACACTTTTCAAGTTTATGCCCCGGTGGGAAAGTAAAAGATTTCAGTTAGTTTACGGTGCCTTGACCATGTTTGGATCAGGTTCAACGCGTTCTCGAAACGTATTGGGGGAAAAAATCATTGTTCGATTCGAAAATAGGCACGATGGATAATTTTTTACTTTTTCATTTCATTTTTCCTCCTCGTTGTTTGTTTCTCCTCTTTCTTCTGATTTTTTTTCTCTTATTTTTTTTATGCCTCGAATCAGCCGAGGTAAATGTTTTCTCGTTCGTCCGTCGACTCGAGTTAAACTCGATTAACGTTCCGAGTTATTGCTCTCCGAGTGAAAGAGACTTGGTAGATCGATGTTGCTCGCTCGCGAGTCACAACTGTATCAGCTTTAAGTCCATAGATATTAACTTTCCTTCGGGCTTGTATGTTCGGCCAAGTCGTTCCTGTCTCCTTGCTGGCTACTATAGAGAGAAAAGCTAGCCTCAATTTGATTATTCGTTTATTTTGCCTAAAGGAAAAGAATGCTTTCTTATTATGTATTATATTTCTATATTCTTTCAATATTACTTTTATTTATTTCGATTTTGTTTTACATATTACTTATTTTATTATTTTTAATAAATTATTCGATAATTGTTAAAATTATTTTATATTAGTTAATAGAAAAATTATAATTATTTTTCTATTAATTTTATATGTATTGAGTTTTTTATTTCAAAGTTATTGATCAAAATTTTTTAAAAAAATTGCTTATAATTTGAGAAAAATTAATAATTATATAAATAATTATATAAATAAAATAAGAAAATTCTTTTGTCTATTTTTGACGAATCATAAATATCAATTTTGATTGATCAGTTGCAAGATTCAGGTAGGGGATGGATAAAAATAGAAATTTTTAGGAGACCTACATACATACTACTTACATTTCTTTACATTGAAAAGTTGAAACCCGCATCGAAGTGAAAGGAAATCAAACAGAATATCTGTTGTAAAAGTAACAAAGAAAACCATTCATATCTCGATAAGAAAAAGTTTAAATATATATACTTATTAAAGTATTTCTTTTTATTTTAATGGATATTACCTGTATCCTCCAAAAGAGTTTCTGATTTTCATTTTTAAAGCAATATTTTAGATAGTATTTGTCTTTCATTTTTTTATTATTATAAATAAATATAATCTTTTAGATTAATGAATAAACAATGAATAAAAAATGAATAAACAAATAATAATAATTGATAAGAATAATAATTTTTTTCTTATAAAAAATAAAGAATATTCTTGATAATTAGATTTTTAAGCAATTGGATTGGATTTTAATTGGATTTTTATGCAAATTAATATATTATTATATTATATTTATATATATTATATTTTATAAACAACACAAATGAATATATTACATATTTTTTTCTGATATTAATTTTATTTGTATGACAGTGGAATATAAATAAATTTAATCGTAATTTAAGAGAAATTTTTGATATAATATTGAAGTCTAAAAAAGTTTTAAATATTTTATTGTAGAAGATAATATATTAAAATAATATATTATATGATATCTTATAAAAAGATTTCTTTTTCAGCTCAATTTTTTGTAGATAAAGAAATAAAGCAATTTATTAAAAAATAATGAGAAAATTTTTATATAATATTATAATTTTATATAGATAAATCTAAGATATTCTATCTATAGATAAATTGAAATTGATATTTTGTAAATATTTAATACATAATTTGTATATAATTTGTATATAATACATATATTTTCAATAATACGACATATTTTTTTTTTTACATATTAATTAAATATCTATTTTAACTATATAAAAATTTATAGTCTATTGATAATACTAATAATAATAATCAGTTTTTATCATAGAAATTTGTATATTATCATAAAAATTATTTATAAAATTTCTATTAAACAATTATAAAGAAAATTAAAAAAAGAATTTAATGAAAAATGAGACAGATTAAATATTTTCGCAAATAGAACGATCATTTCTTCATGAATAATATTTGACTCTGTATTTATTCTCTCTATTGTATAAATGAGATATTGAGAATTGATTTTGATTTATAAGTATATAAATTGAATCTTGATCCCATCAACATCAGATATTCTAATTGGAACAACCATGATATCGCGCTATGACAATTAAATGAAAGTGTCTCGTTGAACACGATTTAATATTAAATGCATATTATTTTGATTATGATCAAAAAATTATGCATTGACACAATGTGATTCTTGAACTTTCTTTTTTAGAGAAATACAATATTTTTTTTTTAATCTAGAAATCATTTTCGAATATGGATAAAATATTTCGTTACTACGTCGCGTTTAAGAAATGTATATTTAAAATGTGAAATTTATATACGTACAGAGAGAATATATTTATTTAATATATGCGTATAATGTACATAAATGTTAATTTATTCAAAGTATAAATGAGAATATATAGTAGAAATTCAAAAAATAATGAAAAATAGCAAGAGGTTAAGAAATGTTATGACATTTTAATGAATATTAATTTTTTTTTTTTAAGAAACGAAATATTTTGTTTATAGATAAATATATCTGTATGTGAAAGAAATGATTTAACGAAAAGAAAATTATGATGCGTGATCAAAATTGTAAATAATAATAAAAAAACAGGAAACAATGAGTAAAACTTTTTAATGATATTTGATATGATAATGATAAAAATATCATTAATATGCAAATTTTATATATATAATAGATAAATAATATAATGTTTAAATATAGATAAATTTTCATAGTTGATATAAATAAATATATAATAAATTAGCATAATTATATATATAACGGAATCGTGGTTTCCTGAATACCAGCTAAAAATTATTGTGAATGATTACCT